AATTTGGTGTTCTGAATTAGAATTAAAGATTTTATCCGTCTTTATATGTATTAAATTACAATTAAAGTCGGCAAGTATTTACAAAAAAAAAAAAAAAATTGAAATTTTATTTTATTGTTTTATTGTAACTAGACTATAAATTGTGTTACATTCTATAAAAGCTACTAGTTCTTATCCACCACATTTGCATTATCATTAATACATATTTGTTTTGAATTAAAACAAATGTAAAATAAAAAAAGCTTTATATTGTTTATATCTTTGTGCATAATAATTGTGAAATGATCATTCAACTGTTGGTGTACTATCAAGTTAGCTATAATTTTGTATATTATTCAATTAATATATGTATGAGCCTCTGGCGCGGTCTGATGATCCGTAAGCTCTAATATATAATTATTTTGAATGAACATGTTAAATTACAACCCATAATCTCAAACAGCAATGTTTGGTTGTACATGTCAGCTAATTTGTTTATGTGGTAAAAACACATGTTATTTATACACAACAGATATTATATATGTCTACATAATACAATACAGGAAACAAGTTATATTTACAGTTAAATAGTTCATAATGCAATGTGTAGTAAAGAATGTTTCAAAGTTAGTTGTTTATATAGTGTGCATAATTTATTTAATTTTTTTTCCTGTACTTTGAATAAATTTTATAAGTTTTACATCATTAATTGGTGATTTAGTTCCTCCTTAAAATATTTTATCATACATTTTTTGTTTTTATATTATATGAAAGAATATACTTTCGAAGAGTTTAAATTAAAGTTGACTCTTTATAAAAAAGTAACAAGCATAAAATATATTTTTGTTCAAATAATATTATGTTAAAAAACTTGGTTTTGTTTTATTTTTATTTAAATGTTAAATTATCAACAAAAAATAGTGAATTTTTACAATGTATTTGACATTTGTGCTAAGGTTGTATCATCATAATTCTAAGTTATATTTTGTTTTAAATCCGTCCAGAACTTTTTTGTGGATGGGCCACAAAAGTAAAGTTCATAATGGTTTTACCCCCTCCCTCCTCATATGATGTAATTTAGGTACTTTGTTTCTTAGATCAACTATAGACTAATAATAATTGTATTAGAAAACGTTATGGAAACAAAAACAATAATTAGATCAGAATTTAATATCCTGTATAAAAAAAACCACAACTTATCTTTAAATATTCAAATCTTTTGAAAAACACAAATTAAAATTTATACTTTTATTTATATGTTTTATTAAATACATATTAAAATATACACATTTTACAAATTAAAAATCAAATAATTGTTTTTAATGTAGGTATGGTATAAAGAAAAAGATAATCTTCTGTTTTTGCTTGTGACAAATTAATCAATGRCTGATGTTGTATCTTGTGTTAACTGTCCACTCAGTTCCCTTTCTATTGATAAAATTGCAGAATTATGAARTCTTTCACTTGTCATTGTAGATCTTAAATATGTCATGATTCTGCGCATCACAGAGAAGCTCCTCTCAGCAGTCACACTAGTCACAGGTATCACTAAAACTCTAGTAATTATTTCATTAATTTCTTGAAAAGCAGGTTTTATAATTGTTAATTCTTTGTGAAGCTCTACAATATTTGGAGTATTTTCAAACATATTTTTTACTAAAATTGATTGAGAAGCAATAGTTTCTGTATTACACACATTGTCTTGTCCATAAATATTTACTAAGTATTTAAATTTTTCTGTGTCCATAAAATTACTGGAATTTGAATCACATGCATCAACAGCAGTTAATATATCTATATTTTCATCAAATCTATAATTTATTTCTTGTAAAATTGTGTCTATAATTTCAAAGTATTGATGTCAAACTTCATCTTTTTCATTTACAGTCTTGAGTTTGAAAGAATTACTTTTACCAACCGTAGAATAAACAAAACTATTGTTCAATTTTGATGATAAATTCATTTTTCTATTTTGCATAGAAATTGAGGTAGTAGTAGTTTGGTTACATGGTATTGTTATATTTAACTCTTGAGCAGCAATCACAGATTCATCAAAAAATTTATTAAATTTGTATTCATTTCTCATATTTTGTAATAAAATTTTTGTTGAATTTACTAATTTCAGACACTTGATAATATCTAGAGAAGATTTTTGCAAATAAATTGATAAGTTGTTAATGAGACCTAAAATTCATCCAAGTAAAATAGAGTTAAAATTACATGAAATGAAGTAAATTGATGTAGAAGACCACGAGCCTCAGCGGCTTCTTTTTTTTTTGAACTTTTAGAACATTCTGTTAATGCAGCAATTACACATTTAAATTTACTTTTGAAAAAATTGACACCTTTATACTTAGAGACCCACCTAGTTTCACAATGTTGAGGGACTTCAATAATGTTTCCACAACCTTTTTGAGCTTGTATAAAAGCATTATGTCTTATCATAGAAGAGCTTTGATAAGCATAAATTGCTTCTAACAATCCTATTATTTCATCAAGTGCTTCAACTTTTTTAGTTGTGTCTACCAAAACTAAATTGAGTCTATGAGCGTAACAGTGCACATATGGACATACATTTTTTGACAATTCACGAATTTTGGATTGCACTCCATTATTACAACCTGACATCACAGATGCACCATCGTAAGACTGTGCAACACATTTTGTTATATCTAAGTTTATATTAACTAAAAACTTATCGATTCAGTAATAAAATCGCCCTAGTGAATCGATTCAAAAAATCGAAAAATCGACYACAAAAAATCGATTTTTTAAAACATCGATTTAAATCGCCCATCACTAGTATCGACAGCTCAAATGAACACTTAATTAGAAATGTATTGTGTGGTACGTGGCTGCAGTTTTATATGTGGYCGGTATCCCAATACGCGTCGTATATTACGCGCTCGGGTATAAATTAAAGATTAGTAATTTATTAATTACTATAACAGTTTACAAACATTTTTGTTATTATGTTGATTTTTTTTACACATATTGCGAATGTACTCTTTATAGTTTTAATTATGATTATTTAAAATTATTTCGTAACGTAACATTATGCTGGTGTAAATGAAAAAATATATGACACAGATGATTTTTATCAACATTTTTTATATTAACATTTTTTTTATCAAATATTAATAAGACTTTTTTTATAATAATCGTCAAAATATTTACATATAGGTATTAAAAAAAAATTAAAACTATTTAATAAAAAAACATCATGCATTTTTTTTATGACAATCGTAAAGGAAAAAAAAWATTACAGGATTTATTATAATATATTATTTATACAATAACAAAAAATTATTCAGAATCATCAACGGAAGAATTCTCATCGTTTATAGTTAGGACACAGGGTTCTAAGTTATCTATAATATCGTCCATGATGGTGTCCACTTGCCAAATTGAGTCTTCCTGTGTGATGACATGACGAATAAAATTTTTCCAATGTTCATCGGTAACTCTTTCAATTCCGGTGTTAAGAAGAGCCCGAACGTCATCTATTTTAAATGTCGTATTATTACTCTTGACGTATCCTTTAACCATCGCCCATGCGAGTTCAATTGGGTTGAACTCGCAGTGATACGGTGGGAGTCGAAGTACTGTGTGCCCGGCGTCTTTGACCATATTATCAATAACGTAAGAATTGTATTTCGATTTTATTTGACGTACTTTTTGGAGCAGCTGGGGTTTTATCATTGGCCTGTCGAGTTGTACTCCTTTCGATGATRACCACGTCAAAATTTCTTCTTTCTTCGATTGGCTTGTTGGTATTTTTTCGGATTTCACAGAATGATACGGCGCATTGTCCATGACAATCACCGAGTTTGACTCCAGACGAGGAATGATGGACTCAAACCATTCACGGAAATTGTCACCGTTCATCTCATCATGATAATCTGAACTATTTTTTTTTGAATTGAAGCATAAAAGTCCACCTTCCAAAAATCCTTTTTCAGACCCAATATGTAAAATAATTAACCTTTTACCTTTACCTGTCGGGTTCTTCGCTCCCGTTGTAAGACCTTTGTTGAAGGCGTCGTGTTTTGATAAAACTGATTTATCAACCCACACTTTATTGGTACAGTCACCRGCGTTCAACCAGGTCTCGTCAAGATAATAAATGCTCCGACCTTCTTTTCGATATTTCCTAATATCATATAAGTAGTTGTGGCGCCAAGCGAGTAGGTCTTCCCTTTCAGTCAATACACTRCATCGTTTGCGTTTGGTAAATACGAAGTCTAGTTTTTTAATTGTTTCATATAATACCGTACGCTTAAAATTTGGAAGTGCTGGATCGTCGTTTACAGCTTGCAGAATCTTGTCTATTGTTGGTATCTCACTTTTCAGCCAAAAAGAATGTATTTTTTGCCGCAGCGCATTCCTATCTAATTCGTCGATATTATCAAACAGACATTTTCTATTGCGAGTCTTATTAGGGGACGAAACAGTTCCACATTTTTTATACTCGGAAATAATTGATATTACCGAATTACGACCAATACCCGATATACGTGATATTTCGGCAATCATTTCTTTGTAAGGCATATTAGGAGACTTAACTTTGATCTCCTTGTACATATTCACAATAATGACCTTTTGAYGACTTTGTATACACTAAAAAAAAAATTAACATACATATATAATATATATATTGTATAGGTAGGTACAAATATATAATATAAATATACAGTAAATATGTCGTTTTATACTGATTATATAAATATAAGATACGTATTTATAAGGTTAGGTTAGGAGTAAAGATTAAAAGTTTTAATAAAATAATAAAATAGGTACTTACATAGTTAGTATTGAAGTATTCTTTTCTAAGTCTGACTGATGACTGTTTTCTGAGTCTGGCTGGCAGTTGCTATTCACTGTTGTTGAAGATGTTTTTGCGTTTTTGATGGTTGGCAACTGTTTTCTAAGTATTCTGAATGACTAGAAGAAATTCGGTTTGACTCGAATATTTTCTAAGTTCAGAATATTATTTTACGAGAATTTTCTTAAGTCCAGTTTAATTAATTAAAGAACAGACTCTCGTGAAGGTGCTCTGGCTAGTCTGGTCAAGTCGCGTCTGAATACAGGCCGTTTCGGGGTCTCTTATATAGTACTACCCTCTACTCCCCATAGTCTACTTGCTCTTGTCGCTGTTCTCACGGATGTGGTATAATCATCTAAACTGACAGAAATGCCACTCGCCCACATACGAGGAAAATGCGCATCCTGTGCAGCTGCAAACCTCGATAATTATATTATTATTATGTAAAAATATATATTATGATATTACCTTCGGCCATTGGTTCTTGGAACTTTTGTACTGATGCATAATCCCACGTCCTGTACACACCTATTGATGATCTTTTATAGTTGAATGCCCAGATGATTTTGTATTTCCCTAATGTTACCTTATTGCCCTACCCTAGCTTGGTTCAGCTGATACCTAGTTAACCGTGAACTAGACAATGGCGGGACGCTTGTCCTCTAAATTTTTGTTTTTAAAGACAGAAATCAATCAATTTGTGTACAATATAGTTATGTTACATTAATATTTTCACAAGTTCAAACAACTTGTTTAGAATGCAATTTTCTATAATTTCATATTTTATGTTTTACATTCATTGTTACATATTCATGATGCATTAACAATTATAAATTATTACATTTCATGTTTGTCATTTTTTATTACAATAGTAGTTTCCATTAGTACAATAATAAAATATATACTTGCGTAGTACATATCATAGTATACAATCATAAATCTATGATTTTATTTATTACATTAAAATATGTGGTTAGTATTACAATATATATATATATTTCCTTTAATATGTTTGGTTAGTGATAGTTTTTATATTAAGTGTTACTTACTGTTTTATATAATATTAATTCCCATATTATTACATTAAAATATATCATTCCCTTATGTTTACTTATTTCTGTGTGAATATAAAGTTATTAAATAATACATTTTTTTTTTGTTTTAATAATTAACATGATTAATATAATATGAATATCTTATGTCTAATATCATCCCTCACCATTCTATTATGTATATGTTATTTACTTAAAAGAACATTTAATTTTTTATCATTATCATTATTAAATGTATTCTCAAATTCCTTATATATAATATATATATATTATTGTCCTTTATTTTCTTTGTCATTTTATTTTATTATTATTTATTTTAGTGGATTACTATCCATTCAATCTTTAATATGATTGTATAATAATACTTATGAAAAAGTGTAAAACTGATTGTAGTAGTAACCGAATTATATRTACAGGGTGATTCTTTTATCAAACAACACTTATATGGTGTTTGTGTGTAAATACCACCTAACATACACCTATAACACACAAACACCACCCAAAACCATCCAACTTTGGGAGGCTATATCTTGTAAACGGATTAACGAAAAATGAAAATTTAAACGTGAAAATTCTTTGTAAAAATAGACTTTTTAGTTTATGAAATTTTAAGTATAGGTT